TTCCCTTGCAGCAGTGATACTGAGACGCGCATTTGGTGAAATGGCTTCTCGCATGGTAGTATTTTGTTTGACTATCACTGGCATCACTAAATTTAGAAATTCGTCGAAAGATTCGGCGTCCATTCTGAGGAAATTCCTGTAATCCTCTGGCTCGTCGTCCCGTAATTCCCTCAGCAATCGTGTATGTCCTAGTTCCCTTCGACAGAGATACCATTTCTTCGCCCACTTACTCCTCTGCTTTCGCTTTGGAGTGTCCAGAGCAAGCACTATTCCTAGAGCCACAGATGCTTTCATCTCGAAATTATGAACCAAACTGAAAATTGAAGTAAAATCATTGACCGTGTGTGGGCACAGTGATTTCCATCAATTCATTGACATCAATAAATTGATATCGATTAATTGACGAAAAAATTGATCGTGTGTGGGGCCCTTAACTCTAGTGCTTCGCCTTGCACATATATATGTTCAAATTGAACTCTACTGTTGAACATAATCTTAACCTTTTCCTTGTTCATCCGAAGTCCGACTTTCAGACTTTTTCTATTCAGATCGTTAATTAGTTGCTGCATTTGATCTGCAGATTCACTGAAGAGAACAATATCATCTGCTAATCTTAGATTGTTTAAGTATTCGTCTCCTATTTTAATACCCTTTCCGTTCCATTCTCGCTTCTTGAATATTTCCTCAAGGAAAGCTGTGTGTTTTCCTGTACTTCCCTTCGTTGTTCTTCTTGCACATTTATGTAAGTATGTATATACACATATACATTTATGTAAGTATTATATACACATATATTTTTATGTAAGTATGTATATACACATACATTTATGTAAATATGTATATACACATATACATTTATATATGTATGTGTGCGGTTGTGAGGACATATCACTGACACTATTGTATATAAGTACCAGGCCTCGTCATTCTATGGTTATCTAGGGCAGACACCGAGGGCCGCTCCCTCCCGCTGCCACGCCGGGACTCCACTTGCCTCCTCGAAGAAACGCCTCAAGTGGAGAGCCGCGGAGCACAGTCTCCCGCTCGCGGCGCAAATTTCAAATAATCTCCCGGAAAGTTAGTGACTCTAATTTCAAAATAGAAATGCTGTGATAAAAATAGTCATATTATATCAGCACAGGCGTAACAACGTGCAGTGCTTCCTTGTCGAGAATCTATATTTTTAATCTTGGTCAACTCTGAAGGAAAGCAAAGGTCGCCCTCGACGTGCGCCGCCGAGATCTCTTCGGGGAAACGCGGCAAATGCCATCGGCCAGTGGCGAGAGAAATCCTCATATCTTTTGACACAGCAATTAAAGATGATGCGAAGTCCGCCAGACGATTAGAGAGCTATTCCTTTCCGAAAGAGTTAGAGCAAGAGAAGACAGCAGAGTCAGTGACTCGGAAAGCTGGAGCGTCCCGCCGGAGCCGCGCAGGTCATGCAGCCCTCGTCCTCCAGCCCTCGGTTCAGGTGAGTTTGCTGTCCCGTGCTGCTCTCACAGTTTATTCCAAAGACAGATGCCAGGGTCGAGAATCAGGGTCATGCTGAGCCATGTGGAATCTCAAATGTGGCAGTAGGTTTAGTGGAACCGATTTGTGCTTTTCTGAAGTGGAGACATATGGAGGCAATTGAAAAACTGGATGTGATATGGAAGCGTTACTCTATTCTAAAAAAAAAAAAAAAAAAAAAAAAGAGTCACAACCTCTGTCAGATTCCATGCAATGAAAACAATGATGGACCATAGGAGGAAATTACTCTCAAAGCCTTGAATGCACAGATAATGAAATGGAGAAAAGGCAAGGCAATAACAATTAAAATATAAAGCAACAACCCCACAAACAATAAATTTATTCAGCAAAAATTAAAGGTATGGCCACAATTTTTTATTTTTAAGGTTTTTTAGTTTTTAAAATTAATGGTTATGTGGTTCGAGGGCCTCTTTAAGATTTGTGTTCTGGCAAAGACAAATTCCAGCAAGTGTATTTGATAATTGTTTTAGTTTCCCGCAGCCATCCAACTTTGAAGCTATTCCTTGTTTCAGTCATATACATTGCAATATGTGTTAATCTTTTGCTGTTTTCCAATGCATATGATATAAGTGAAAGAATTGATAACTGTTTACGAAGTGACTGTACCCCTCTGAGACTAAGTCCCTATTACTCCAGCCACTCTTGGGAATCCACAACCAGTGCCGTATGAACCCAAAAGCTTCCTAACCCAGGCTTCACCTCCAGACCCCAACCTGGTTGCCATATTTCCCGACTGGGGATTGCAACTCAAATGCCATGGACACTCTCTGTGCGGTATTTGTGGCCTCAGCAATTTATTACTTGTATCAGTGTATGTAGGTTTTCCCTTACTCTAAGGTAGTGTCATTAAATTTTTGTGTAAATGCATACCAAACTATTGTCCATTGCACAACTTTCATATTATTTTGTCTTTCTATCCGTTACGGGCATTTCATCTCTATGAAGCTGAAACTACACTGTATATTTTCACAAGATAGAGCTGTCATAGGGAATAAGCTTAGAAGTTCTCATGTAGAATGTATATTAACCTATGTTAAGTTTTGTTGGCTTTTTCCAGAGTATTACTTCTTGGGGTCCTGTTCTGAGCATTAACAGACTGCTTAGAGAAAAGCCGTGGTCTCCACGCTCTGTGCTCTGGTGCAAGTACACCTCCATGAGGGAAGGCATACTTTTGGGATGAAGTGCAGGATGGTTAGCTCTATCTTATCAGAATAGATAATGGTAGAAGGTAGTTTGAATTTGCCAGAATGCGAACATTGCCAGGCTTAATCTTGTAAACATTGATTGACAGAATTTTATTTGTGATTATGGCCCTTTTTGTACTTTCTGCAGATTATGTTTTATACCTTATGCTTTCGTAAATAATGTTTGTTTATGGCCATTAGTTTTGTCCATTGTTTGAGGTCCTATATAACCAATTTTAGAAAGGGGAATTATGTTTAAATTTTTTATTGATTAGCAGTGTTTTGGGACAGGACTGGAATGGTTGCCAGTCAAGAGGTTCCTTCATAAAAGGACAATAAGAAAGTTGTGAAATACGTAATACTCTGGTGTAAGAAAAAAACACATTTCTTGATATATGAAATAATGTATGCAGGCCAAGAATATTGTCAGAGATGAAGAAAATACATCATGACAAATGCTACGCTGTCTAGTAAGGCCGTTGTGATTGGGTGTGCCTCCAGGGTCAGAGCCCCCAATAGGGAAATACGGCAATAGGATAGGGACCCAAGGGCAAAGGACTTGAGTTAGGCAAGTTTTTGGAGTAATAGATAGATTTTCCGCTGTCAACGCAAAATTGTATACAGTATCTTGGATGACACTTGCAACCATATAGATTGATCTATATATTAAAATGACTGATACTCCTCTAATGGCCTCTGTTCTTTAGGGTGCTTGGGCAAAGGCCAACAAACCTCCATATACTGTACACCGAACCCTCTGCTATTGCACCTAATTGGTACACATTTGAACATAAGGATTAATGGGAGCATAGTCCTCATTCAGACAGTCTGCCTGCATATTTTATTAATACTGTATTTTCCCTTAGACACAACCCCAAAAAGAAATGTCCTCAGGAATTTTGCAAATGTGGAATATAGCTCAGATGCTGAATTTATAAAGAACTTCAGACAGCAAAAGGAATGCTGAATTTGCTGAGAACATCAAGCAGCTAATTGCTGACTGTATTAAGAAAATCACAGAATGCCAGTATTACTTTTAGGTTGAACACATTGCCTAATGACCACCAGCAAGCTTAGTGACTTGCACCTTGCTTACATCCTTTGCTTATCAAGGTCTTGTGCATTTGTCCTGTCAAGAACCTTTACTGCTTTTCCAGTGGTGAAAGTGGGAACACAGACCAGTCACTGATTAATTATGTTCAGTAATGTAATCAGTCAGAATTAGATAAATGTCAAGTTCACAGCATTATAGCAGAGGGTATGGTGTATATTCTGCCTAGACAGAGTTTGTAGTCCCCGACATTTAAGCTTGGTCTTGGCAGGATGTATATGGGGGGCATGTTGGCCTTTGCTTTGATGTGGTATTGTTTTTAACAATTACCAAGGTGTATATATTCATTCTGTAGTATCCAATTGAATGGGTAGACTTTTTATAGCATTGACATTGGACCAGACAGTTATAGAGAGCATGAAGTATATCAAAGACTTTACAGGAAAGAAACAAGAAAAAAGTATTTGTAATATATTGAAAACAAAAAACTATCATCAGATGTATTAATGAACATATATCCCCTTAGGCCATACAACTAATCATACAACTAAAAAACAATTACTTCTTAGTTCAGTAATAACCATTATTCATATTTTTGTTGTTTTTAGATCTACAATAGCTGCTTTTGATCCCATATTATCTCTGGTGTAGTGTTATTACCACAGTAGGTAGGTCTATGATCAGTAAAGTACTATAAATGAATAGTACACAGCAGCAGCAGTATTGTAACTGTAGGAGGAGTGTATGGATGAAAATATAAAAGTTAGATTTGCATTAAGAATTTTTGAAATATGAAATAGGGGTTGCTGTCCTTTAGACATGTACCTGATTTAGGAATTCAGATTATGTTGAAAAAGAGATATACTCTCCAGTAACACTGAATATACCATTAAAACCTTCAAGGTATCCACAATCTTTAGATAGCTCTTGTATAATAATAAGCTAAATAATTGTATCAGAAATATAATTTTGTATGAGATTTTTATAATTTTTTTGTATGAATTTATAATTATTTTACAATTTGATTTGATGGTGGTATTTATGTCACAGAATATGTAAAGATGAGGAGAGGCAGGAGGAAAGCAGTAGTGGGAGGAACAGTGTCAGCAATAACAAGAGAAATAGATAAACCTGGTAAGTGATGAAGGTCATTACGACTTTGGTATAGTGTCATAATTGGTACTGATTATTTTATCATACATAAGTAAATATGGATTTATTTGAAATATATTTTT